CCAACTCATGACATCAAACATTTACCTTTGTTACCGTTCTTTTGAGATGTTTTTACTTTGTGATCTTTATCAAGTTCCTTTTTCCTCGGTTAAGTCAATGTTGTAATCTTCAATCTACCAGAGGGTCCTTACTTTATTTCAAAATAAAAGCAGGGTTGAATTCAAACAGCAAATAAATTAATCTCAACTTAAGTAAAAATAAAAACCTTGCAATTTTTACTTTTAATGTTAAATAATGGAATTTTTTAAACATGATTAAAATGCAATCAATCGCAAAATAACTATCTTTTTTTTTATAGTTTGACAGCCCTAATTGAAATACATGTTTAAAATGTAAGTCTATTTGTGAACATTTACTGCCTATTTGTCCATCTCCTGTGAAACCCTGTTGGTGTCTCAGGGTTTTGAGACTCAGTCACAGATATGTAGCTAAAATGGCAGACAATTAAAAGGCAGAAGATCTGATTGTACAGCTGCTATATCAAATGGTGAGTTACAGAGATAACATTTCTGGTGTCCTTAAATGCTCTCCGGACCTGTTTATTTACCTTCGACCTAAACTAAACCCGATTTCCCAAAATCTTGTGGTGTTTAATTCATCTCAGCTGAAAGAGGCCCACCCTCATGTGAGACGCTTTACTGAGCTTTTATCCAAAACATGAGGCCGATCATGTCATGTTCATGTGGCAACAACACGAGTCTAACTTCACAGTGACAGCAACAGGGCGATGTAGCCCTATACACTGCAGGGACATGAAATGGGTAGTTTAAAAGTTCAGGCATAGTCTATTTTTTATCAGATAGATTAAGAATCACAAAGATGAAGTGTCACGGCATGCTTTAGTTCAACTTAAACATTCAGCGGAAATGTACAGGAAACACATACTTCAAACATTCATTACACATAAGTCATTTTGCTCTGTCACTTATTGAAACAATAATGTAATGTATTCCTATTCATCCAAATGTCATCTTTTTACTGCGTTAGATTTAAAAGGAAACAGACATTTTTATGCAATAGATTGCTTTTAAAAATATACTTATGTCCAAACTAAAGCTAAGTGAAGGTCGGGAAAGCTTTTATTTCTCCATAACATTTTGAGAGAAGTTTCCTTTTTCTAACCTTTCCAAAAACACCCATCCAACCTAAGCGGACATAAGCAGCTAACTACCCAATATGGATCTTTCCCACAAGCCCGCGGCATGACAAGTTTCACGATACAGACGCCATGATACGACATGTATCACGATACCCTCTAGTATTTTATCCACAGTGAGCTGATGTGAGAACGCAGCAGGATACGATCAGGAGAATATACCTCAAGAGAGTCGGAGGGGGTGGGGTTAGACGTTTATCCCCTGCGATCAGTGCACAATCATAGACAGTCTGCATGCAACTGCTGCGATCTCTGTGCAACTAATAAAACAGCTGCATTATATTTCCTGTTCACCAGTTTGTTCTTCTTAGCTCTATATTTGACATTCTAAATGATAAATGGTCTTGAGCTTGTATAGCGCTTATCTAGTCTCCTGACTACTCAGTGCAACTTTATACTGCAGAACACACCTACACATTCACACCCTGATGGCAGAGGCTGCTATGTAAAGTGACAATCAGTGGTAACTAATCCGATTTATACACATTCACACGCTGCAGACAAAGCAGCAGGATAAACCTGGGGTTTCTTGCCCAAGGACTCATCAGACGTGTTGCTGCAGGAGCTGGGGATCAAACTCCTGACCTTCTGATTGAGAGACAACTGACTCTACCACTGAACCACAGCCACCCCTTTGTAATTCTGTTGACCACATGTAGCATTGATATAAAGGCTAATGTTCTCGTTATAGCGTCGTATAGTGGACTCTGTTGCTTTGTCAGCCATTTCTACACTGTTCTCTTTTTACGTCATGTCTTGCCTGAGGGGAACCCCCACCCCGGGACCCCCACCCACCCTCCTGTCTGACAGGGATAGTCTGCGGCTATGAGGTGCATGTGTGAACAACCAAATCAGGAGATGTTCAACGGCAGTCCTCCTGAAATTCTCTAGAAATGTTCAGAAGGGCCTATGTGAAAACAACTCTTTTCTTTGTAAGTAAAGTTTACAGTCATGGCAGACTCTAATGAGATAATAACATGTTTGCCAAGCCAATTGGATGTAGACAACTGTACACATTCTCTTCACCTGTGAACCGAACCTTCAGTGTTCGAGAAAACTCAAAGGGGGAAGTAAAGACTGACGAGGTAAAGCAATGTGTTTGCACTTCAGAGGAACCACACTTTGTGACACAGGTTGTAATGACATCGCGCCCAAAATAGATTTACAGTCCATGCTCTGAGGAGACGTTTTAAGATTTCCAAGGAGCTTTCTGATTCCTTTATGTGAATTGAAATTTCTGTAGATGTGAATTTGATAATGGATTTTTATTTATTTATTTATTTGTCTGTGTGCATCGTGAGAGATGCATGCTGAGATATGGTCCATCCACTGAGCCTTCAAAGGATAAGTGGGTTTAAATAATGGATGAATGGATAGAGGCTGTTAAAGCAATTAAGAGCCTGGTGAGCAGCGTGTTAACCCCGGAACATGTATAGACTGTATGTAGGTAAAGGACGCAGAGAGCGACCGTCTGCGAGTACATCCTACAGGAAATGAGGTTTGTCGCAGCCAAATGCCTGTTGGCATTGAGCGAGGTGAAAGCTGTGGGCGGATGTTGTCAGGCTAACAGAAGCTTCCTCTTTCCACCTTTAAAAACACGAGGAGGAAATATCAGAACATTGGAAACAGAGTAAAGATTTTGTTGTTTGAACTGGGAACCTTTGTTTAGATCTTCTTTGTTCAGTTTTTTAAACGAAAAGGGAATATTCTGAGCATCAACAAAGCAGATCCAATCAGTCGTTAACTCTTGGCATTTTGTCCTTCTTAGAGTTTTTACATGGCCAAACCTCTGCACATTATTCACCACATTATGGAAGATACTTTTTCATTTAGCTTTGTCTATGTGATCCGAAGACGTGTGTTTTGATGGTGTGTTTTGCCATGACATGTGTGGTTAACCACATGTTTGAAATGGCGCAGAAATGGCTAACCATTCAAATTCCTGTTTGGCAAGTGAATTCTGTCTTTGGAACAATCTAGAGAAAGTGATGTGTTTTCAATATGCGAGTAAACACAGGAGGAACTGGTTTTTTTAAAAGCACAAATATCCGGTGACTCAACAGACAAAGACCGGAGGGCCACAGAAAATCAAAGAAATGAACACAGGACCACACATAGGGTTTGATTAAGTGAACTCTGGGAGGTTTATAAATCTGGAACACAGTTATAGCTGCGATAATTGCCTGCTGTTCAATCAGGTTAGCATTCATCTTGTAGCCGTACTGCACTATAAAAACACTATGTCTTGTATTCTAAGGTCTCAGTGAAATACATGAAACACCACGACTTCTTTACACAACACGCCATGTTGGAAATCCTGTCTAACCGAACTTTCAGTCAACCTAACGACAGGCTGAAGTTCTTCACACACTGAGTCCGTTTTTTTTTGTCAGATGTGTTTTTTGTATCCGTAATCCGGGAAAAAAAAAACATGTTACACACTGTCAATACACCCACCACGATAAACAACTTCCTATCTATAGTACGACAATCACAGAGACCATTTGTGCTGGTCAGAATAAAGATGACTTAATCAGACAGCTAGGCTAATCGCTGTCTGCGCAGCTTAGTGATCATATTAAATCATACCCTTGAATCTACACTACTGTGATTGGCTGAATAGGAAGGAGACATCTAATTGGCTGCAGCCATTTCCCTGCTGAAAAAAATGCATTTGTGAATCGAACCACGGCAGGGGAGTCTCAAAAATCGCACACACAAATGCAGTGAGATTCACAAATGACAAACAGTTTGTAAATGCAGACTGAACAGCTTGTATATAAATGTAACAAGATACAAATATGTATTTTGAAATATATATGTACATCATATATTTTTTGGTTTCTATTACATATCTATAAAACAATAAATATTTCTGTCTGAATCAGAAATACGTTTGTGACCCTTATTGTTTTATTTGTGGATTTTATTTTTACATTTATAGAATAATAAATATTTGTGAAATACATTTGTGATTCCTTCTGAGTGGATTCATGAATATTGAGACTGATCTCACTGCATAGATAGTCATCTCGAGATAACACTTGTTAAGAATTGGCGCTATACAAATTATTGATATTTATATGTAAATATTGTTCTTATTTAATTTCCCTGTGCTTGCACATGTTACTCAGTAGGCTCCTTATAGCTTACTCTATTTCTATTTTATATTCTATATATTTCTATATTTCATACTGCTATATTAGGTTGTATAAAAATATATTGTTTTTAAGAGCAACAGTAATGACGGCACTTCCCCCTGGGATTAATTAAGTATTTCTGATAGTGATGATCTGTTGCATACTGGTTCTTCCAAACATTAGCCTACAACAGCAACTCAAATCTGGAGGTTTTGACCTCCGCAGACCATGACACATGCATGAAACCTACATTTTGAGGCAATTTCTTCTGTTTCAAATGCTGCTGAATTTTTCTCCCTACTTCCCCTTTAAAACATCATTACAGCACACGCGGAGTGTGGAGCCTCCTTTCTTCCCCCTAAAACGTGGCCGGGCGGAATGTAAACAAAGGATCTCAGTCACTACAGCGCACAATCATTAAATAAACTCTTTTTTTTGGTTGTGCAAACACCCTGCAGCATGAATAAAAACTGATGAATCTACCTTAAACCCATACCTTTAAGAGGAAGGAGTGGAAACTATTACACCGACTTAAACCACTTTAATACTCAACTTGAGGCTATTATTCTTCCCCAGCTTGTGTTTTTGCGCGTTTTGTCTTTGAGTTCCTAAAAAAAAAAGAAGAGGGGTGGAGGGGTTGATTGAGAGAATCAGGAGCCCCCCAGCAGTGCTCGGAGTTGTAACACGACGCTCTGTGAGTTGCCATCATCACATGGCAGATGGAAATTTCCACTCAGACTCCTTGCTTGTTAAATGGGAAGGGTCTCCAACTCTTGTCTTCACTAGTCCGCCTCCTCCTCCTCCGCCTGCAGCAGCTGTCCGCCACCCTCAAACCCCTCGGTAAGACCCCTTCATTTACTTTTCACTCGTATTCCTACCCGTCTGTGCTCATATGGTTAATCCTGACCACCGTGTTTGACGCTCTGGAAGCGGGTAGTTTAATTCTGACTGTTGATTGCATTTGGATGAAGCAGCTCCGAGGTTTTATTGCCTAGTTAGAGAATTTAAAAAAAAAAAAGAGGCCCTTTTTTGCGCCTGAGTTGGATAGTTCTCAAAGACTTGCTACTTCTTTTTAATTAATTTTTCCTAAAGCGCATCCATAAAGTAGTATACTGAAGAGAGGCAGCAACAGTAGCCGTGTGTGGAGGGTGTTGTCTGCAGTCAATAGGAAGCAGCGTGAAGCGCCAAACACGCGTCTTTATTTATCCAAGAGAATTACGCGTTTATTTTGGTGCAAGGTGACAATTTAGTGTCTGACTCTTGATTTAAAAATACACGTTCACCCCATGAAGGCACCAGTTGATCTTAAGTGCTGAAACTACTCTCCTGCATGTTGTGTTTTGCTGCGTGCTGCTTTTCCGCCTACACTGACAGAAAACACAAAGGCGACTATTAGTGTTTGCAGTTTGCATCTCGGTTTAGCTGCTCTGTGTCTGCTCCGACGGTGTGTACAGTACATAAAAATACATAAATCAGATTTATACGGTTTGACTGTGTAAGCAGATGAGATATATGATGGCAGGGCTAATATATGTTTTTGTAACAGCACACAGTGACATGCTGAGGGTGTCCTGCAGGGCTCACTGAGGGCTAATGAATATGTTATGACTGCAATCCCAGACTCGTACTGTTGTTATGACATGTTGGGAAATAATGTGTGTGTGTGTGTGTGTGTGTGTGTGTGTGCGTGTGTGTGTGTGTGTGTGTGGGGGGGGGTTAATTCATTGTGATTTGATTACATTTTACACTTTCCCCTCAGTTCACCAACGTTTTTCACTCTTTCTGTCAGATTTTCTGACCCTATTTTTTTTTTTAAACAAGGTTCCTCGTTTCTTTTTTCCGTCAGAATCACTTTTTGAAGTAGAAAACCTGGTAAAACAGAGCGGTATCATTCGGTCCTAAGGGGGGACTTTTGGTCTGCGTGGTTGCTCTCCATACATCTGCTCAGTTGTTGTCACTTTCATGGCCGTAATGCTTTATGTTCATCCTTGTCATAGAGTTAAGCACTCAAAGCCACACAACCTAATCCTGGCCTTAAACAGAGGAATGACTGAAAACAAAGCCGTAGACTCACACAAGGTGAAGATCTCGTCCTCGGCATATTTTTGAAGTGAGATCGCTTTTCATAGCTCCTCTGACTGCTAAAAATACCCGGTTGCCACACAGTGACTGTGCATGAGCACTTTCAACCCCCCCCCCCCCCCCCCCCTCAGTTCCCCCTATGCACCTTACTTATGTAACACTGAAAATGTAGTAATGCCTTCCTTCAATGAGACTCCTCCTTCATCTTTGTCAAATGGATTTTTAAAGTTTCTACACTTGTAATAACAGGCGAGTGGGCGTGCTGACTGACGTGATGGTAAAGAGTTAAAGGTGCACGATCATAGTGACTTAGTAAATCTTTACACACTTACATACACACACACACAGACACACACACACACGCACACACAAAGAAGAGTTTTCTTTTCAGAAGTGTGCATCATAGGAATGAAAAACAAACAACTTAGGTTTGTAGTGCTGGGATTAAAAAAAGGTTTAAGGTGGATTTGTTCTGATACAGCCTTAAATGCCTCAAGTATGTTTTAGATTAACTATAAAGAAAATGATTGCTGGTATTATCACAGTAAGCTGAAACAACAACTGTGCGATCTTTTTGTCTTTTAGTGCCGTGTTTTTGGATCGATTCTATGAGTTTGCTAATGTGCAAATTTTGAGTATGGAAAAGGGAAAATAGTTGTCAGAATAATCATCTTTTAAGGAATAAACAAGGTCTATTTAAGGTAATTATGATGGAAAACTTTAAAAGAAAAAAAAGAGTTTCCCCCATTTGTCTTACAACCACTTTGCTTCTTAACTTGCTAATAAGGTCAACTGGACGAAGGTCCAACACAAACTGTCTGAAAGGGGGGGCATATCACCACCTTAGAGCAGTCGGACAAACTTCTGTCACTAAATCAATTCTCCCCCGGTGCTTGTATACGAGGGACAAGGACAGCGGTCCAAGTAGAAATTAATGTAACGAATCAACAGTTTATAAAACGGTAAAATCCCGTTCACTCAATGCGATCATTTCCTGCAGGCTTTGCATCGTGTATGTCCCTGGTCTACAGACCAAACTATGTGTAAGGCTACACATAGTTTACCACACAAAGCCGTAGTGAACCCAGCATTTCATTGTGCTCGCTGCACATACAAACAGGAAGCTGCAACAACTGTCAGGTTTTCAAATAAAATCTTTTAAACTGAAGTGTAAGAGTTGTATCTCATCTGAACAGCTCGATGTTGAGGATTTTTGGACACTTCTTACAGTTCAGTCTGAGTGTCTTCAAAGTGAGACTGTGCGGGTTGAGAATGTTTAAAGTGCCCAAAAGATCTTTTTTTAATCAGTGACATGGATTGTCACCGTCAGTCCGATCCGTAAATGACATCAATATCGGACCTGATACCGATATGAGATCAGATCTGTCCCATCTCTTATGTCAAGTCCAAATGGACAAATATCTGCTTCAATTCATTTCATTTTACTCCTGTTTTGGTCATTCCCCATGTTGTACACTCTGTTACCCCTCACCCTGACAGAGGGTGAGGGTTTTTTTTGTCCTCTTAAGGAGATTCACTGATATATTCCTGATAGGTCAGTAACAGCCGGACGATATCAGCCTACAGATACAGTATGTGTCTGGCTTCAGAAATAAACCTTTTGCTTTAAATACCAATTGAGGCATTTAGTGTAGTGTACACCCTCCAAGATTTGTAAAAGCAGCAAAAAGACAAGTATGTATCCTACATATCCCATAATGCAACAAACTGAATCTCAACGTTAGGCATTCAGGATCTTTTTCAGCTGTTGATGATTTTTACACTACATGACAAGTTAATAGGCTGTCATGCATCTTAGGGTTGTCCGCTTTATCGCTTACTGCTAACCCAAGAATCTTATGTAAGTTTCCAGACCTGCAGGTGAGGGGCGACACCAGCACAGGGTTTGAACACCTGTCAGAAGGGATGAGCTGGGCTGTGGGCTCTCGCTCCTCATTGGCTGTCAGGAGAGCAGAATGACACATGTAGGTCAGAGCCTGCCGAGCAGCTGCAGGTTTGGAGCGCTGCGGGTGCTGGCTGATGTAACTTAGAGTGTGAATGAGCCAACGAGCTGCGAGCCAGATGCAGAGTCAGTTTCAAAGGAGTGGATATTGCTAACACAAAGACAAACTTTAGGCACGGCCACCACAGAGAAGAGCAGTTGGCAGTTTTCCAAAATGCTTTCACCACATTCAATTGAAATGTGAGAAGATGGTGTATTGTTCAATTTATTAACGGGTCTATTTTAACCTGCAGGATTGTATAATTTAATGACAGGAAATGTACTTTAAGGACACTTGAACTGTACACAAAGAAACCACATGCAATGAAGCTTTTATTTTCTTTTGATGGACTGTTGTTGATTCTCGTGGGGGAAAGTCCCTTCTTCTTTCTCGCCACACATGGTGGTCAGGGGTCAGGGGTCAACTGCAGGGGTTCAGTGCCCCGCTGTATGTCCTATAAACATGGAGGGATGTTTGCCGACACAGCTGCTTGAACACTTTATTCGCTATACTGAACTTTTTACAACTTGTTATTACTATAGAAAACAGGGGTTACAAGATATGCTAAATTATATTTCATTCAAAGAACATTATTCTCTTGGTAAGCCGCCTCATCCATGATCCATGAAACCCTCAGATGTCAAGTCAGTTAAATGAGAAAGTTTTTATTCATGAATACATTCAATGGACCGCTTTTTGTCTTGGTAAGTCAAATGCAGAAATACGAGTCTTTCAAATTTGGGAAGTACACTTATATGTTTCCTGGTGGAGTGATAGATTAGTTACTTTGTCACGGGTTCAAACTACCATCAGCACTTTGCTTTCCTTAAGTCTAATGTTTTACATTAGCGTAAAGTGGGGCTTCTTTCAAAATCTAATTTTAGCCTTTTTCACGCATGCACTCCTAAAAAAAAATTTAGAGAAATTTTCAGGACAGGTTGCTCCTGAACATTTTCTTAGTCATCTGTTCAGACATGCACCTCACAGCTGGGGGCTGTCCCTGTCTGATTGAAAGCGGGGGGGGGGGTCCAGGAGTTAGGACATGACCTTAAAAGGACGTCGCATAATTGGCGGAAACGTCAGAGTCTGACACCATGACGAAAGATTTTGCCTTTTCATCATCAATGCTTCGTGTTACAGTATCTAGTTGTTCTTCTTCCAACGTGTTGGCACGGAAACGCAGCCTGTGCCAAAATGCCCCATAACTGGCCCCTGAATGATCAAAGCCTGCAAGGTTCATGGTCATGGTCTCTCTGAGAGAAGAGTCTCACAAAGTACACAAAGTATTCACTGTTGGATGACAACAACAGTTTCATGATGATGTCACACAGCACAAAGTGAAGCGTCTTAGTCTTTCACCTCTGCTGAAGTAAAAAAAAGTCATAATAACAAGAGCTTTTGAACTATTGATCATTTCCATGTCGAGTCCTTAACTTGATAGTTACGTCTATATCTTTAAAATTCAACATTCAGTCGTTATGGTTTGTCATTGTTGGCGTACATGAGCAGGCAGATCAATACTACCTGATAAGAAGATAACAGCGAGGGTCTGCTGGAGCAAGTTCACAAACAAGGCTTGGACACACCATGCTAACGTACAAGAGGCCAGGATGGGGTTTACGAAAGCCAATCGGCCTTTTATGGCTCATGACGACGCAGTTTGAGTCAATAGTTGTTGTTTTTTGTCTTTGGTTCTGAGCACGCTGTGATTTGTTTTTTACTCTTTATCAAAGAAATGTCCTCAAGTGTCCGAGT